TTTCTAACTGTAATAATTGGATTTACTATGTTTAATTTTTTATTATCTAACATTTATTTCTTTTACCCAATTTTGATTTAAAGTATTCTGTTTTTTAGCTAAAAAATTTTGATATATACCAATTAAATTTTTGTATAAATTTATAATAATTGCTAAATTAATAGTCTTTTTTAAATATATTATATACATATAAGCTATATTTTATATAATTATTATTAAGTTTTTAAAAAATTAGAATATACAATTTGTTGTCTCTTATTTTTGTTATTAAAATTAATGGTATTACTAATTACATTATTTTCTAATAAATAAATACTAATAAAAGTTTGTTAAGTTATAAAATTTGATATAATTTATCATCCTTATATTAACAATTAGAAATTAATTTATAAAAAATAAAATAATATATTATTAAAACTGTATTACAATTTAATAATGAATAATATAAATTAATAAAATTATATTTTTGCATTAGAAATTGCTTATTTAATTAAGATTTTATTAATTTATAAATAAATATTAGGATTTTGCAATTTAATTAATTTAATTTGATATTTGCCCAGTAAATAGTTTTTGTATAAATTTATACCAAACGGGCTCATTGGCTTGAAATTAGCTCAAATTTATGCAAAAAATAATCCAAATTTAAGCCAATATAGAGCCAATTATATATATATGAATGAGCCCATTTGGTATAAATTTATACAAAAACTATTTACTGAATTGACATTTGATTTGAATTTAACAAATTCAAATCAGCTTAATTTAATTTAATTTGAATTTGATTTGATTTAATTTGATTTGAAAATTCTTTAATTTAATTGGTTAATTTGACAAATATTTAATATTTGAATTTAATTTGAATTAAATTTAATTTGACAAATTCAAATTAGTTTTATATTCAATTTAATATACTAACTTTATATACCACTTTGTATTTAAAGATATTTTTAAAATTTTATAAAAGTGTTTGTATAATATTTATATATATATATATACAGCCAACTTTCTATAAATGCATTCCCCCTTGGAATCAGATATAAGAGTGCATTTAAAGAGGATGTACATTTATAGAATACATATAAATCTATATAATATTAATCTAAAATTAAGGTAATCCAAAATTTTATAAGTAAACAATATAAAATTTTTTATAAAAGATGTATTTACAGAATATATATATATAAACTGTACATTTAGCATTAAAATCCAGTTATAGTCATTATTTCTTTTCCTCCAGTTCTATTATTACATAAATCAGTTAAATAGCGTCATTTTGATTAATTAAAAAAAATCTATTGGAGAAACTTTATTTAAAAGTAATGGCAAATATAGTAAAATATATGATGCTATCAAAGAGAGAAAGAGTACATAGATCTAGACTATTTAATGCGAGCTTCAGCATCAAGTTATTTCTTTACTCTCTTACATTATATAGTATCTATAGCTAATTTTTTATATTACTATATTTATGATGATCTCATTTTCTACAAATATGAAATAAATTATGTTTACAAAATCCTTGCCAATATAAATTACTCCTATACATACAGATTATATAAAAATTTTCAATTTTAACTAAGTTTTGCAAGAAAAGTTTCCTGAAACTGAATAATTTTGAATCTACATTAAACATAGGTAATGAAACTGAAACTTCTCGAAACTCTATCAGTTTCAGTATATACGAAATAGAGTTTCAGAAATACATATATTTTTCCAATTTCTGAATCCCGACCTGAAACTGAAATATGCCTAAAATTTTTATTAGTTTTCCTTATTACAGTAAATCTTAAATAAAGGTATCAAGTTCAATTTCTAATAGTTTGTTCACTATTAAATTATTCCTAACATTAAATTCAAATTAACTATATAACTATTAAAGTAGAATTTGTTCACTCCATTATATTCTTCAATCCTCACATAGCGTCGGGTATTATAAATTTCTTGATGATTATTGAGCACGTGATTTCGTCAATATGACGTATGGTACAGTTGTTTAAGCAATTTAATTGAGTAATGCTAATTTCGGGATATCAGGATAGGATCCCGGACATCACATATATAACTCATAACTGATCTGCATGAATTTAAGTACTTTTTGCTCCTGCTAAAATAGACCTAATTTGCTAAAAATCAAATTATCACATTTCAAATCTATATTAATTTGCTAAAACTCAAAATATGAGTTAATAATCTTTTTTTTTATTATCAATAAAAAAATAAATGATTAATATAAATTAAACTGCCAATTTTTATAATTAAAATATGTAGATTATAGATAAAATAATAATTAATAAAAATAATAAATTAAATAAATAATTATTAAAAAATAAAATATTGCGAAACTAAACGGACGGTTTTTGGCCCGCATTATGCTTAATTTTGGCCGGAATTATACTTAATTTTGGCCAAAATATGACCCGGACCCCGAAACTAATATTTTTAAAAATATTATTTATAAAGTTAAAAACAAAGGATAAGTTAAATTTTAAAAAAAGTACCAATTTGCTCAAATATAAAATATGAATTTGTAAAATCAATACAATTTGCTAAAACTCATAATTATGACTATTAATTAATTTTCAATCAATTTGCTCTTTCTAAAATTATGAGTTTAACTTAATTTTGATTGAATTTGCTAAAACTCAAATGTGAGTTATATATGTGATGTCCGGGTCCTATCGGGATAGGTTTCAGTATATCAGAAGTTGTTTCGAGATTTGGTAAAAGTTTAGGTTACGGGTTGAGTTTCGATTTGTATATACTGAAATCCAAAACATTCAGAAATGCTCTTAGAAGTTTCAATACCCATGTTTAATCTACATGAGATTAGCAACTGATGAAAAAAGTAATGTAATATTACTGATTCATACTTACTACTATGTCTCATTTTCAGAATATTCAATTTGCCTTGACTTTTACCTAAGAAATTTTTTATCTTCAGTGAAATATTGTACCAAACATTAAGTATTTGGCATGTGAATATGCTTATATTTTTTGATGTGCAAAGCAAAACTTTTGCTGTGCCTTTGCATGTGATGAGATTTATGTGAATATGCACTATATGCTTATAAGTCTTAAATCTGTATTGCTTTAAAAAATTAGAAGTTTCAGTAAAGTAGTATATAAGAAAAATATTTTGTTATATAAATATTTATTAAAAAAATTTAGCAGTAAAATAAAATCATTTTACTTTTTAAAATAAATATTTTATTTTCAATTTAATTATATTAAATATATAATTAATATTTAGATAAAAATTAATCAATTAATATTAAAAATTTGATCATATGAATTAAATAGAATTTTAGATATCTTTAAAATAAGTTATAAATTATATTTTTGTAAATTTAAAAAATTCAGTAGTTTAATTTTAATGAACTTTTTTTTTTTATTTTATAATTTTTATTGAATTCTATAATTTAAAAATATTTATTATAAATCACTGAATTACTATTAATTCATCAAAAATTGTTTAATAAAATTAAAATTATAGGTTAATTAAATTTACATTTTATGGTTATATTTTTATTGTTTTAAAAATAAAATTTTTAAAATTTTTAATAAAACCTTTTTTTTGGTACTATAACACTATATATTTATTCTAAGTATTATTTTTAATAAAAATAGCAGAAATTTTCAGAAATATTTTATTATTACTATTGCTAATATAAAGTATTTTTATTAAATAGTAAGTTTTTGCTTATTAATAAATTAAAAACCAAATTTTTTCAATTCCAAAAAAATAATAAAAGTAATAAAAAGTATTATAATTAAAAGTCTAAAGTAATTTATTAATAAAGGAAATGAAAAAATAAAAGTTATATAGTTTTATTTCTATTTTAAATTTTTAATGAATATAAAATGAGTTTATACCACTCCAAATTAATTTTAGTTTAACGTTCTTTCCCTCTATTTTTGAAAATTTCAAAGGTAATTTAAACACATATATGTTACATATATTTAAAGCACATTTCTCTTTTTTAAAATTGAATAGTACTGAATATTTCCAATTTTACTGAAAATTCCTGAAATTTTTAATATGTTTAAATGTCATGTTTGTTTAAATTATTATTCCCTTCCCTCCCAAATTTTGAGCTAGAAAGAATGTTAAACTAATTATTAGTTTGAAATGGGTTTACTTATATTTATATTTAAAAGAATAGTGATTTTTTATAAATATAATATTTAATTTTATAATACCATTTACTATATGGGTATTACAGTATTCGAGTCCGCTCAATAAATATAAATTTCTGTACCCTGAGAATAAGTGACAGCGAAGACTTGTGATATTGATAATCTACTATAATTTATTCTTTCCCTTTTTCCTTTAAAGATTCAGACGCTGAAATGGTTTGAGCGACCTAACATGATGGAAAATTCGAGGCAAGTAATAATATATTCTGATTAATTTTCTGTACGGACGAACGGCAAAAGATACCGATATATACCGAGTCAAAATTCGGTATTACGGGACCGTAATCCACCGCTGACCTGAAAAAAAATCAGATATCCCTGAAAAAGGAAACTATTCTATGAAAAGATCAGATAAAAAATTCTTAGAACCTAATTATCGTAAGGATCATCGGATGAACAAGAAAAAAAAAAAAAAATTTAATGAGTTATCAGATTAAAAGATATCATTATGACCTTTAACTATGCGTGAATCATTTCCTTTAATGAATAAAATTAATCTGATAATTAGATTACACGAGACTGAACAGGAAATTTTCCGGCAATGGGGGCGTGAGAATTCCTTGCACTTAACTAAAAGGAGAAGATTATTTAATATGACACATAAATATTACGTGTTACGACGTCAAAAGAACCACTAGTATTTCATCTGATAAACCTAATTTGGCAAGTTTATTATAATTACTTTCTTTTTAAAACAAAGTCGGTAATAAAAATTCCCGGAAAAACTTTTTATTTATATCCTTTCTCTACGAATCCGTCCTTTTTAGCTCAATTTTATATATTGAGTTTGAAATTTGAAAATGGCGAAACCTTTTAGTTCTCGGATATTTGACATAATTCAAACTACAATTACTGGTAAAACTGATAATAATTCACCATTAGAAGATATTGAAGATATTGATCCATGTAGTGGTTGTTCAGATCCTTGTTCAACTCATCCAACTTACCCTCCTTCTCTAACCTTAAGAATTAATACTAGTTTAACCCTTCAAGGAACAGTAAAACCTTATTACAAACACGTGCTTATATCTACCGGTAAATCTGATTGGAAATCTCATATTGAAGATGAAGAAGGAAGTTTTGCAGCTCAATTACAAAAAGCTATTAAAGGTAATAATAATAAAGAAAAGAAAGTTAAAAAAGATAAAAAAAATAAAAACAAAAACAAATCAGATGAATCAAGTTTAAAGAAACCAAAAATTCTTATATGCAATAGTAGCAGAAAAAATGATAATAATGATCCCTCATTCTCGGAAGGAAACGATATTTTACTTTTTTCGGATAATATTCTTGTTCGTCGTGTTCCACCAAATCATGCAGTAGAATTTTATGATCAATTTTTACGTGGTCAAAAAACCGATGAAAATGATACATTATCAACGTCACAGCCTCATGTGACATTTAAAGTAGAACCAATGCCATATAAGGCCGTGGTTTTGATTTGTTCACATATGCATCGAGATAAAAGATGCGGTGTGACAGCTCCTCTTTTGAAAGATGAATTTGATAAGATATTAAAGGATAAAGGGTTGGATGTAGAGAGTTGTGCTGATGGTATAGCAGTTTACATGACAAGTCATATAGGAGGTAAATATTATTTTAAAAGAAAAAATCAAAAAGTTAGTTTTTATAATTAACTTACCCAATTTTTTTTTTATAAATATGTAATTTAGGACATAAATTTGCTGGAAACGTTATTGTTTATCGGGAAAAGCAGGGAATATGGTATGGGCGGGTAACTCCTTGTCATGTGAAATCAATAATTGAAAATACTGTGATTGAAGGAAAAATTATTAAAAAATTGTATAGGGGCTCGATTATGAATGATTATGTACAAGATGAAAGCGAAATTGAACTAAAATAAAAGTAATAGTTACAAACGAGTTAATTATATATATAATTTCTAGTTAATTGTTTTAGATCTTCCGTTTGAAGTCAATTTGTGATTCGAATATCTGAAAATATTTGATGTAAATTCGATATTTGAATCTCAAATGGACATTCGAATTTATAGTATTTAACTAATATGGCCATGTTTTCACATATAATGAATTTTATTATACAAAACTAATGAAAAATTAACAAAAGGCGTTGCATTAATTTTATTAATTTTGAATTGTATCCTATGTTACGAACATCATAGTATATTTTCAACCGGAAGCTCTAAGTTGTTTCCATTTATTTAAAACGCGAGATATATTTGATATATGACATTTAAAGCAATAAAAAAATTAAGAATTTATTGAACGGCGCTATAAAAAAACCCTTGTATTTTATTGTATCATAACAATTTGACTTAATTCTTATCTGTACCTTAATTTGTTAGCTATAAATATACAAAAAATAAAAAATAATAGGAAAAAAAATTTTTTTGTTTTTTTGTTTTTTTTGTTTTTTTTTGGCTTTTTTAAAAAAATCCAATAATTATAATAATTATATAATTTCATAATAAGAAAAAAAGAAAATGAGAAACCTTACAAGACTGTTTCGAACAAAGACTACCATCATAATTTTGAGTACTCAAACAACGGTTATCTTGGTTATTATTGACGAGAGAGAGAAGGTTGAAATTTTAAGGTAAGCGATGACATGTCATTCTGTATGAAATGAAATTAAGAACGAATATTTATTTACTTTGGTGCATAGAAAGAGACATTCGTTTAAAAATAAAGAATTTACCTTTTTACAAGCGACTTTAGGTAATTTCTCTCAAAAAAAACAAAATGCCAATAAAAATGGCGGAATTATTATGGCATTTAAATGCGAGAAATAAGATGTTTACTCTAAAATTTTATATAATATATCGTTATTAATACGTTTAATAAAATGAATTTTCTCCGAGGTTTAAACCTCTCAAAAAAAAAAAGAACGTGTCCAAAACAGTTACAAAACAGTTACGTACCCGAGGTTTAAACCTTTTCCCAATTAACAAGAAAAAAAGAACGAGAGTTTAGGACATTATTGTCCAGTGATGATAAAAAAAACCGAAGGGAAAAGGACAACTGGGAAAGGGGAGTAAGTATATTTGGCGAAGGACCCGCAGTGAATTCAATTGTTAAAAAAAAAACCTTTATATAGATTCGTATTCATCTAAATTTTCATAATAAAAAAAATTATCAGATCCCTAAAAAACTTTTGATAGGATCGGGAAAAGAAGGTAAAAAAAATATTCCCTTTTACCAAAATTGGAATATATTTTTCTATCAAAGTATTATCTGATAATCTGATAACCTAAATAAGGGTAGTTCTAAAAATTATCAGATTTTGTGTTACTCTTGTTATTATTTATTATTTAAATGCAGCTAACGCAGCCACAAAACTGGGTTATATAATATCGTTTTTCATGAGAAATCAGCAAATCAGCAAAATCGTCAGATGTTTGTGTAAACTTTCCATACGGGTAAACGGGTGTTAATGTGTTATGTGTGAAAAATGAATGTTCTAAACAGAAATAAACAAATTTTATGTCTGTAACTCAATTTGAATTTTTAGTTTTCTGAAAAAAAAAACTCTTCAAATGGCTTCGCTCTATGTTTAAGAAAACTGTAAAAAGAAATAATAATTAAATAATAATTAATATTTGTTAAACATATCTGTATTTATAAACTCAGATGAATGTTTTGCCTTTACTTAGATCTTACACAATTTACAAATCTACAAAGTCCTAAGTCCTAACTGATAATGAGTCATCTAATCATTTTTATTGTTTTGTGTTACGAGTTCAAAAACGTCCGACACAATGAGTAGAATTATGTAACAAATCGAATGGAACGAATAATAAAAACCTTACACCAGAGCTGAACTTCAAATAGCATAATTCCTATTGCCGATGAATTTTCAGATCATCCTATTATTATATACAAAAAAGATATTTGATACCTTTACGTAATAATTTATAATTACTTATTTTTTGAAGTACAAAGGAAAGAAATGGAAGAGATTAAATAAATGATTTAGGTAACGTGTTGATTCTTACAACAATATTAATCAGGCTAAATTTCTTAGTATTCTTGGAAAAAAAAAAAAAGATTATCTTTTTTTTTTTGATTTTATAGATATAAATACCTGCAGAAATGCAAGAGACCCTTTAATCTATTGACATTTGACATAAATGAAATTAACCATTTGAAGCATAATACAATTACTCATGACTTTTAAGATATTTTTTCTGCTTTATTGCGTTATTGTATTGGCAAATTTAATTTCGTCTACGCCAATTTGGGATCAAAATGTCCGTGCATATGAACCAAAAACAAATGTTTTTGATCTTACTATAAAAAAAGTTGGTTTGGCTCCAGACGGGTTTTCTCGTATTTTGTCAACTATTAATGGTCAGTATCCTGGTCCAACTATAGAAGTCAACAAAGGAGATCGTGTTATAATAAATGTTCATAATGAATTAGGTGAACCAACAGGTAAATTACGAGATATTTGCTTATGTTTTTATATAATCTATGCTAAGGTTAGGTAATTAACCAGTAAATATTAGCTATTCATTCACATGGGATATTTCAAAGAGGTACTCCTTGGTATGTATTTTAAATTTAGAGTTAATAAAATTTTTTACAAACCATCAACTATAATAACTAATATTTGTAGGTTTGACGGTGCAATAGGACAGGTGAGTTGTTATTCAATTAATTAATGTTTTTCAAAAATTCTGGATCTCGATTTTGTAACGCGTGACGTTATCAGACTCAATGTGGAATACCGGACAATTATATATTTACCTACGATTACACTGTTTCTGACCAATTTGGCACTTATTGGTAGTAAGTATATGCGATTGAACCTATTAGGCAGTCACTTGGAATTGTGATTCTCACGTGATATCATTTTTTTTTTTTTTTTAGCCATTCGCACGCAACGACACAATATGTTGATGGAATTGTTGGCGCTTTAAGTTAGTTTATTTATAAACAATTATCAATATTCTTTATCCTATAAGAGACTTATTTTTCGATCTAATTTAATCAGTTATTCACGATCCTGATGATCCTTATATAACTGAATATGATGAGGAAATTATCGTCATGTTAACTGATTATCATCATGTTGAATCGCAAATTTTATTGGAATCTTTCTTTACTCCTGCAAGTGAGGGCGAGGAGGTATGTAAAAGCTAATTTATATATTTACTTTATTATTACATATTAATTCGTTTTTTTTTTTAAAAAAAAAATCGCATCGTTTGTAATATTATAGCCAGGTAAGGATAACGATAATACGATGAATAAATATTTTTTTTTTCTTTTGGACGCGAAAAGCTAATTTTTATTATTTTTATTGATAATACCAGTTCCTGATAATGGATTGATTAACGGAAAAAATAACTTCAATTGCTCTCAAGCCCCACCAGGATCTACTTGTGTAGATAATGCTGGCCTTGCTAAATTTGTATTTATTCCTAAAAAAAGTTATCGACTTCGAATCATTAATACTAGGTAACTTATGTAATTATATCTTATTGTGAATTAGTGTAAATATACAACTTATTTTTTTTTTTAATTATTTAGTGCATTTTCGTCGTTTTTTTTTTCAATTGACAAACATGAAATGGAGGTCATAGAAGTAGAAGGTTCTTATACTAAAAGGAATAAAATCCATCGTCTTCCCATAAATGTTGCACAAAGATATTCCGTCATCGTTACCGCAAATCAACCTGTTGATAACTACGTAATGCGTTCAGAATTCCAAAAGACATGCATGCCAGATGAAGCAAGTAAACTTCCTGTCATAACAGCTATAGTACATTATGATGGAGCTCCTGAAGATTCTGCACCAAAAGATGCACCATGGAAAGATTTCTTGGAAGAATGCATAGATCTAGATCACAAAACCTTACAGCCGTTATATGAAGAAAAAGTTCCCGAAGCAACAAAAGAAATGGAACTTGTAATTGCTTTCCATAATGATTCATTAGGAATTGTTAAAGCTTTTCTTAATGAATCTACTTATGTACCCAATATATATTCTCCGAGTTTGCTTAAAGCGTTTGCAGGACAAATATATGACCTCCCTCCTGCTCGAAATGCATTTATTTTTGATAATTTTGGAGAAGTAGTTGATATTTCTTTTATTAGTAAATATAATTTAATAATTATATAAAAACCTTCGTTTATTGTTGATGAATTTAAGTAACAAATGTTTGTTTTGTTTAGATACTGACGAGGGCGAACACCCATTTCACATAGTAAGTATGACCGTATACACCAAATTAATGGAGACTCTAAAATTTTTATATTTTCAAATTTTAGCATGGACATCAATTTTGGGTACTTGGAACTGGCAATGGAACTATAGTCGATAAAGATGCGTTGAATAAAGTTAATCCAATTAAACGTGACACTTCGACAATACCTGCAAAAGGGTAATTTAGAAGAATTTCTTATTCACGTTTTCTTTCATTTAAAAAATTTCTTGACAACTTAGAAAAAAATTATTTTTTAGATGGATGGTCTTTAGATTTGTTGCGGATAATCCTGGAGTTTTCGGAATACACTGTCATATGATATGCTATCGTTCAATTTCTTTACTTTCTATATTTATTTTTCTTATAAATTTTTAAAAATTAACAAAATTTTTTTTTCTTTCATTTTTTCGTTTTTATCTATTTTTTTTATTTTATTTTCATACGAGGTATATAAAAATTTTAGTAATAAAAATTCCTATTAAAACTTACAATCCTGACTTAAAACTTTTTGTTTATATAGTGGCACTTGCAATCCGGTCTTTTGATGCAGCTAATTGAATTCCCAGAAGAAATCAAGAAAATGAATCCCCCGCAAGAATGGGCTAGATTATGTGATTTGACTTGATACTTTTTTTTTCTTAATCCAATCGCTTTATGATTTGACTTGAACATTGACATGATATATGTATATTTATTTATTTATATTTATTTATCTATTTATCAATTTTATTCGTGGCAATGTTCATTTTTTATATAATATTTATGTTATATATGTATTCAGATTGTAAACCTCGAAAAATACTTGTAATTAAATAACAGGATGAAACTGTTTTCTCTGATACAATAAAATATTTTATCGTATTCATTTAAAATTTTTAAATTTTATAGTTGCTATTTAATTTAATATCTCATTAAAAACAGACAAAACACGTAAAAAAAAAATTTCATTCATAAAGTTTTTTGATTGGAACTTTCTATCTAGAATCTCCAAAATGGCACAGTTAATCTAAGCCAGAATCACAAAAATTTAAAATGAATCGTTATTGTACCAATTTTGCACTAACCTAAAACATGTGTGCATGGGGTCCGTAAAAAATTTGTATAACAATGAGTTACCCAAATAATAGTTAATGGTGAGTTTTTCCGAGAGGACGCTTATCTTATCAAGAGTGATGTTGTTGACATCCGTGATGATAAAACCACATATAAGTTCAATTGTTCATTTTTCTCTTATTTGCATAATGAACATTTCAAAATATAACTATAATATGTTTGTGCCTGAAGATGTCAATTACGCAGATATTAACCAATAAAAACGAATCAAATCTTTTACTTGTGGAACTTTCTAGAATATCTAAATATTTTTATTCGCAAAGAGTTTTCTGAAATATCAATTTGTAATGTTATTCGTTCTTGCCCAAGGCTCCAACAACTTGATCTTAGCTATTGTGAAATTACTGATATAACTATCAAAGAAATTGCTAGATCATGTCTTAATTTAAAGTATCTCGATTTGGAAGGGTGTTATAATATTAGCGAAGAAGCCATAGATCAGCTTATTTCACTTAACCCAAATATTCATGTTGAGAATTTCTTGGAATCTTCAGCACCCCCTGATTTTATTGAATCAGTTAGAAATTATCTTATACAGCCCAACGTTGCTAATAAGCGATTTTTAGCTCAGCACCTTCAGCAATTTTTAGATCTAAATATGTGGGCTAGATCAACAGTCCGGAGTGGGCCGAGATGCGCGGAGCATTAATTAGATTTTTTTGCTGAGCCACATGCATGAACTTCTGTGCGACAAAAAATAAGTGGATTATCAGTCAGGTCTTGTGCGACATATTTAATTTTCACATATATATTCGAAAAAACATATTAACCTTTATTCTTTATTTTTTCCCAAACAAATATGAGAAAAATGTGAAAGGAGGTCTACATGCAACACAGGACCTACCGTAAAAGTAAATAGTGACGACAAAACCATATGTTATGAAGGGCTGAGGGACTCGCAATTTCGAGATCGCCAGGCGTAAAACCAACTATGTGTCTCTCCGGTAGATCTCCATGTGAAAAGGTACGAAAGTTTTATTTGCATGTGCCTTCAAAGAACTCTTGGCATCATACGACAATGCTAATCACTATTCTTATCTCCTTATCTTTTTCCCAGCAAGATATAAAGCATGTAGTGGTATGAGGAAGTTCAGCCAACTTTCCCGCAAAAAATTTAAGGTATATACGGTATATGTTCTTTAGTGCGAATGGGCCAAGCAATTTTCTCACTATGGATCTTGTATTTAGGAAAACAAAATGACCGAAATCACTCTCAATTGTCTTATCGTCCCTATAGGAAAACTTATGAATATTCCATGTAATGCAATCGATTACAATTAACGAAGGTAGAGGTTATAGTGAACTCGAGACTGCAATTCAAAGCAGATTGGGGGCACCATTTAATCGAATCCCTCTCAAAATTTGTATAATTCAAGCCGGAAGCGGTATTGAAAAGGAAATGGGTGTGTATGACGATGTTATCGATATTTTTACTGGGGAACCTAAAGCAGAGCACTTCCATATCACTGTATACCCCAAATAATTTTCTGTATCATGTAATAGCGATATAGTCGCAATTTTTATGTATTGTAGGCCGGGTTCCGGCAATGTTTTTTATTTTTAAATAAAGCATATATTACGTTCTTGTCGTAAATCTTGAAAAATGTCATGCGCAATGATGCAATATAATCGCCTAACAATTCTGTACTACATCTTAATTGCATATATTGAGCAAATCGATAGGAAAAATCCATCATTTCTCTTCTGGCGCTTTACTACTTCGGAGGCCCTTAATGCTAGTGCAATAAATAACGATGGGTAATTAATGTCGAGCTTTAAGGGCTAAATTATAGGCAAGTTAAAAAATGAAAGGATGGGTGAGAAATCTAAACGGAATGTAAAGAAAATTGTTGTGAAAATAAAAAGTTTTTAATTATATTTCTTCGTCGGGCGAAAAACGTGAAATACAAGTACTATACTAAACATTTAAATGTTTGTTTTACGTAGTGAGCGTAACGGATATTATTAAAAAAAAGAAAATAAAACAGTATAACAGTCACCGAAAATTATATTTTTTATTTTTAAAAAAATAAACTTTATGGAACATTATAATGTTAACTATGTTTATTAATAAATTAAATTAATTAAATTAATAAATAGATCAATAAAAATAAATAAATAAATATAAATACTATGAATTCATTTTTTATGAAAATTCACAAAAAGAACAGTAAAGAATAACTAGGACTACTTGTAATGAATAATTCATTTAGTAAAAAATTAAAAAAAAAACTAACAGCAAGGAATTAGAAATTTGCAACAGCCATCTTCGCACTGAAAATTGACATCACCGCAATCTTCATCAGAGCTACAAGGAGCACTACATCTTTTTACGAGGGGATCTACTAATGAAAATGATAAATGCATGGTGAACAAATAGAAAGATAAAAGAATATTTAATTACTAATTTTTTTACCTAGAGGTGATGCATGAACTGTCAGGCTAGTGGCAATACAAACAAGAACAATAAACCAGAAAAGATATTTCATTGCGAAGTATTGTTTGTTCAGTGATAGTTTTAGTATTATTTAGAGATATATCTTTTTCTTTTCTCTGTCTTTATGTCTTTATATATGTTTTTTTGACGTACAGTATATTATGATCCCGAAAGATTTTATTAAATTCTTTCTTTTTTAAACATCCTTTCTAAAATCATATGATATCTAGAAATTATTCTTTATCATCTGATATTCAAAAATTCTCACGTTCGTTCGGAACAAGAGCAAATCATTGATATCGGGATTATCTGCCGAAATATAAAGGTCGATCTTGTTGAAAAAGACAATCTCGGAACCGGACTACAATTTACGTATTCAGAAAGGTCACTTTTAAGGGAATGTTTCAATTTTGATAAACAAAATTAATTTTTAAAGAACGTATTAATAATTGAACTTGAAAATTGTCGAAAACTTCCTTTTGTCATAGGTACAAAGTTTGCTTATCTAATGATAATCAACATGAAAATTACTTCGTAGTAATTATTGTTGGGTTGCTGAAGGATCGTGTTAATGTAGATAGTTCTCCAGCTCGATGACACCGACACCCATTTTCCAGACATACACTTTACCCGACCCCGATTGCCTGACACCGAATAGACTTTTTGCCGACATATCATTTTCCCGACATGATATTATACCGACAACATATATCCCGACAGACATTTTCCCAACAGATATTTTCACGAAATGAGTGATTTTACCAAAAATCATTTACCGAATGTATATTAATTATTAAATAATATGTAAAAATAGAAATACTTATGAAAATTTTTAAATTTATAAAATAATTAAGCATAAATTTTATTCATTATTTTTATTTCTTTTATTTTTATTAGTTTCTTTTTACACATAAATTATATAGCTAATACTAAAATAAAGCAGAAATAATAAACTATAGAAAATGTTATTTAATTTCTTTTTACACATAAATTTATATAGCTAATAAAATAAATCAGAAATAACAAAATTATAGAGAAATATTATGTGCAATACCTCTTAAAAAATCCAAGAGAGAATAATCATCCCGATTATTAAAAATATTTAAAAGATGATTTTCACGGTCAATCAGAGCTTACGTTGACGTGGCCTTTCTTCACCACAAATAATGCTTTCTATTTGCAACTCTGTTTGATGCTGTTCCTTACGCATTTCATCAATGATTGTATAAATACCAACATGTGCTCTTCCAATTAAACTACCCCACCGTTGATGCCATCCTTCAACTGTGTTTTGCATTCTTGGGTAACCACTTTCAACAAGCTCATACACAGGCCAGAGCACTGGGAAAATTGTGGTGGGTTCCGAATTACAGATTGATTATGTCTATGTTGATGGTGCCTAATTACTTTGCCATGGACATAATTGTCTTCAAAAATATTGGACAAGCTCTACTGCATTTGGAGGCATTAAAGATTTGACTTGGTCAAATGCATTTGGAATCTCAGAGGATGGCAGAAAAGCAAGAGCTGTAATATGGCATAACTTAATACTAAAATCTTCAGATTCACCATATTCAACAGCTAACCCCAAAGCTTGAATCTTTCTCCAAAAATTTTGACACAAATGGAAAAAGCATCCTTTGTGAGTAGTGTCTGGAAATTCCCACTTGTGCAGCATTAATTGCTACTTGTTCAAAATCACTAATTATTAGAGGTGGGAATAGAATTTGATTGTTTTCCTTGCCAAAATCAACTAATTCTTGAAATAAACGCTCATAGCTTTCTTTTGATTTGCTTGTCATTAGAGAATACACCATTGGAAAAACATGTGAATTATTCTCTCCACCAATAAGAGCATGAATCGTATACATTTGTTGGAATAATGTAGGCACTGTCTTGAAAGTGCTGTCCATAATCCAGAAATTTGCTTTTTGTAAATGTTGCAAATTAGATGCTGTGCAAAAAATCATAATATTTTCTCCATCCCTATAAAAATTCCACATCCTTAAAATGTTCTAGTTTTATGGTTAAAATATTCTTATACAGTGATAATATTTTTAAAATATACTAAAAATTAAACAGACGGGTTATTTGAATAGAATTTTATAATAATAAATTATTTTAAATTATACAAAAAATATACTAAATTTTTGAATTGTAATATTAATGGATATTTAAAATATTCTGATTGGATATGCAAAATATCCTTAAAATTAATTTACTGATAATAATTTAAGTATAAAATATTTTGATATTAAATTCGATTGGCAAAAAAATATACTAAATACTTTAAAATAACAACATAATTAGATATTTTTTATCTGAATATGTAATTCAATTTTTTAGTCTACCAGTTTATAAGATAAAATGTCTAGCGTGATTTTGTTTTATTTGAAAATGTAATTCGATTTTTTGGTCTTTCAGTTCATAAGACAAAAACGTCAACATAATTGGATTTTTTTTTTATATAATATAGTTCAATTTTTTTTATTTCAAATTTATAAACTAAATTTCTTTCTTTAAAATAAGGGTTATTTCTCTTACTATATTCACAAGCTATATTATAAAACAAAAAATTTAATTGAAATAAAAACTATTACCATATTTTTTTTAAAGAAAAAAAAACAATACACGTAAATATACAAAATGAGTATCCTTCACATATATTATTATAACGAAGTTATTAACCAAATTTTACATTATATTATAGAAAAGACATCACAAATATGAGAAAAACTTCAAATAAAAAGCATTTCAGGGGAGATGAAATCTATTTTATGTTTTTATCTTTTATAAAAAAAGTAAAAAGTAAAATTCTTTTTTTTTTTTATAAATGATCTTATTGATAATGAACAAAAACCATCATACAATAAGAAAGTTAGAAGTTTAGGTGTATTGAGATTTAACATTATTTTATAATATTGTATAATATAATTAAAATGTAAAATTTAAATCTTCAACGATTTCAAAAATAACGGTAATGAATTATATCCTAAGAAAGGAGGTAAAGTCTACTTTTTTTTACCATTATTTACAAAAAGCAAAAAGAGGACCCCGGATATCTAATATAAAGGTCATAATGGACTTTTGGCCAAAAACACCCCTTTTTGCTGAAACTCAAAAAATCGTATTTTGTAAATATCTCAGCATCCAGTAATTCAATTTTAATGAACTTTTTTTTATTTTGTAGCCCTCATTTAGCTCTACAATTTAAAAAAAAGTTCATTAAAATTGGACTACTGGATGCCGAGATATTTACAAAAAACGATTTTTTGAGCCCTGAAAAATGGGCTAATCTGCCGAAAGTGTGACTTATGACCTGTTTTGGAGATATCCGGGGTCCTGCAAAAAGTAATTGTTATTTTTCTCGTTTTATAAAAAGTTCTGATGATACCATCACTGACAATTCTAGTAATGAAACTTCAAATGGTACAAATTAAGATTTATTAAAATATAACTTATTTTTTTTACTTAATTATTAACTATTTAAATACAGATGTCAAAAATGATAAAGATAATGGCATCGATAAAGATAATAACGATGATATAACTGATGATCCTAGTAATAAAACTTCAAATGGTACAACTTTACTAAAAATTGTAATAATTTTAAAATATTACAAAAATACATTTAACATATCAAAATATTTTTATTATATTTTTGTTATTATTTTGTAATTATATTGTATTTAGGTCTATAAAAATAACTCAAAATAATATCACAATAATTTTTTAATATTTTTGTTATTATTTTATTATTATAATATAATTAACTTTGATATTATTTTAATATTTTAATCTCAAAAATACTTCAAATATATCTTGATATATTTTAAAAATTTTACAAAATAATTGCACAATTGTTTTGAAAGTCATTGTATCTAGGTCTATAAAAATATTTCAAAAAATTAGCTATTTTTAATAAAGAAATTAAAATTTATTAAAATATAACCTATTTTTTTTACTTAATTATTAACTTTTTAAATACAGATGTCAAGAATGATAAAGACAATGGTATCAATAAAGATAATAATGATAATATAAATAATGATAATGAAGATAAAAAAAAGAGACTTATTAATAAATTAGACTCTAATATTATCGACAAATGGCTTAATTCTTTGAGAATAATGAAGAAAATGAATATTAGTGATGTAAATTTAAATTCTAACAACAACAGTACTAGTGACTAAAAAAAAGGCGCTTTAATCTTACACTCGTATCCAAATGATGAAGAAGGTTAGAAGCCTAAATATCAAGCTTAATATTGCACAAAAAATGAAGAACCATACGTTTATATTCAATTATCAGGTAAAGGTAATGGTAATGGATTACCAAATAATAAAGGGAGCCAGAAGCTTAAATATCGGGCTCAATATAGAAAGGGTAAAAAGAAACTTCATAAAGGAGAATTGTTACCTGTCAAAAAAAATCCAAGATTATTCAAGGGATTACCTGAAAAATCACCAGGATCCTGCTTATTTCTAATAAAAGCCACCCATAAGCCTAAGGTAAAAATTACATAGAAAAATCAAAAAAACTGGTTGAATTCATAAGGTAAAATTCTTATAAATTAAAAAAAGTAAATGTAATTCTGTGGTAAGTTTTTTTTATGTAACTGTAAATATATGGTAAAATTAAACAGGATTTTAAAATGTAACTTGTAATTATAAGGTAAAATTTATGATTTTGTAAAATTTATTAGTATATACTATTTTTAGCACAAAGTTTATTATATGGATATGTAAAATTTTATTATACAAATACGTAAAATTTATTATATTGTTTTTAGTATAAGTTTATTACAGATATATAAAATTTATTATACTATTTTAGTTACAAGTTTATTACACAAACATGTAAAATTTATTGTACTATTTTTAGTTACAAGTTTATTACACAGATACGTAAAATTAAAAAAATAAATGTGTAAAAAAGAATTTTTTAAGAATATCTGTATAATATAAAAAATTATAAAATAAAGTAAAGAACGGAAAGGTTGGGGGTGGAAGGTAGAATAAATTAAAGTTATTTTTTTATTTTTTTCTTTTTATCAAATAATAATATATATATCTGTAACTATTGATTAATTTTGAACTTATTTTAAATAGGAACTTTTTTACTTTTTTTAAAATAATTATATCTAAAAATTAGGCAAATTTTAAAAGAAATAAAAAGTATTAAATGTATAAAATAATTATTTTTTATATAATTTATAATTATAAATATCACCGAACTTGTAAATTGTAAGGTAAAAATATATATGATTTAAAAATATAACTGAAAAGATGGTAAAATTACTTAGTAGAAGAAAAATTTGGAGTAAGGTAAATTTACATATAAATCTTAAAAATTTTACGGTGACCTCTATTAGAAGTAAGCGGGGTCCTGAACCACCTGAAAGACGTATCTGAGAGACTGAGATCTGTCATAGAAAATCCAGGATTTGAAAAATTTGAAGAAGTATCATTAGATAATAAAAGTGATGGAAAAAATCATAAAAAGAATGAAAAAAAGTATAATCTTGATAACAAAACTGTAAATCTTGGTAAAAGTTTACATAAAATATTGCAATTTATTTATAAATTGCCAACTTGTCCTCCTATTCACGATAAAAAGATTTTCTTCCAGAATAAAAGCTATTATAAATCACCTAATGAACGATTCAGAATTTTCATTTTTAAAAGGCTTTCAATAGTTAATTGGTGACTCTTTGAATGATGTAATTTTGACGAATATTACTTCCTCAAATCATACTAGAGTTCCATTTATAGTTAAAGACAAAAATTAAATTAAATATATATTACATAAATTAGTGGATAATATTTTTAATTTTATTGCAGGAAGTACAAAAAGTCAAGTCACCAAAGATATCTTGCAACGTAAAGATCTACACTAGTGATCCCAGGTGAAACTGAAATATTTAGTTATGTGACAAAACTGAAATTATTTCGTCAATGCATTTCAAATTACGAAATTCTGAAATATTTTGTCACATGACTAAACCAAAATTATGACTAAACTGAAAAATATATTTTTAGTTTTTTTTTTTTATTTTACAAATATATCGACACATTTTCAACATTTTCAAACACAATTTAGTAAAATTTATTAAATATTATACATACAATATGCTAAAATATTAACAAATAAATACAGCTTTATAACAATATTATTATATTATACATCATAAAATAATTCCTCTCACGATAGTGACAATACCATAATCTTTCATCCCATATGAATAAAATTGTACCAATCCTTTTATAGATTTCTATATACCAATACGATGCATTTCATATCTAGTAACTTACCAAACTTACCATCCCTTATAAATCAGCTAATCCATCAAATCTAACTATAATCTTTACAAGTCACAATTTCAGCTCTTGTCATACTTTAATGTTCTCGTAACTAAATCTATAATTACTCTAACTACAAAACCTTTTTGAATCACAATTTCTGCCTTCAGCGTACTTTGAACGTCCTAAAGTTAAACTGTTGTTTAGTAACTGACTACTACTATATCTGTGAAATTGTCAGATTACTCTAACTTCCAAGTTAGATTAGACGAAGACGAATTTTGAGTTGAAAAAAATTGATCATCTGATCAATATTATATTGGATTATTATGTAGCACAATTTTGATTACAGACTGTAAAACTTTAATTATCGTTATAATCAAATCAATGATAATCAATAACTGTTAAAATAGAAAAAAACTCACAAGGTATGACCGCATGAGATACCAAATGACTTTATATATTGCCAAAAGTCACGTTAATGTATTACTTTCGCTGTTTTACTATATTCATAAACGTTCAATATTCTATAAAAAATGGACACTCCAACTGAACAACAAAAGAAGAAAGGTGGTCGTCCTCAAAGTGAAGTATGAAGACATTATAAGAAAAAACCGCTCAAGTCTGCTGGTTATTTTTGGCCAAATGTAATTATTGTAGGACATATTGGCCTTGTAGTCATCTAAATGAGCTAGAAGATCACTTAGCAAACAACTGTAAAGAAGTTCCAGAACTTGTTCATTTGTTCTACTTAGGTGTAGTTTCTGCACAGGATTTTGGAAGAAAAGATACCTTTTCTTTGCCAGAAAATAGTAAAAAAAGAAAAACTCGGGTAGACCAGTAGGAGTTGACTGATTGGTTTGAGTCAACTAATATAAATTCTTAAAAAAAGGCTTCTATTACTTATGCTCTTGTGCATGTATTTATATGTTGTGGTATTCCATTTTCAATTATTGAGAATCCATTTTTTATTGAATTTCTTCACAAAATGAGACTAGGATATGAATCTCCAACAAGCGAATTGCTAAGTGATAGACTTTTAAATCAAGAAACAGCAAGAATTAATGACAAGATTAAGTAGATCATTAAAAATTCTGAGAATTTAACACTTGGTAAGTTTTGTTATCAAATGAATTTATAAAAATTTACAAATTTTAAATTCTAATTGTTTAACTCTTTAAGCACTTGATGGCTGGACAAATCCGAATAGTGTTTCTGTTTATAACTATGTAATCCTAACTCCTGATCGAGAACAATACCTTTATGCTCTTCATGACTATTTAGACAATCATCATACAGGAGATTTTCTTGCAGGCCAAATTACGGATATTATCAAAAAAATTAGCTTTGAAAAAATTTTTGCATTAGTTACTGATAATGCCGTGAATTGCGTTAAAGCAAAGAAAATTGTTATGAACCAATTTCCAAACATTATTGATTTTCAGTGCATTGCTCATTTCGTCAATTTAGTAACCAAACAGATTATGGATATATTTCAAATTCTATAAAATACTAATTATGAATTATTGTTAAAAATTCATCTTTTTAACCTTTTTTTTTTTAATTTTAGAATATAATTTGGTTAAAATAATAATTAGTAGCTGTAATCAGATTATATTATTCTTTAAACATTTTCATATAGTAGGAAAATTGTTGACCGATGTTACTACTACATTACAAATTGTAAGAGGAGGGCTTAAAACATATTGTGAAACAAGATGGACTTCCATGTATGAAGCTGTAAGTTCCGTATCTCATTTACGAATGGTACTAAAACATGTGAGTTTATTTCAATATCTATAAATTCTTATTTTGTTATTGTAATATTACTGATTATTAATAATATTTTGTAAAATATTTATAGGTTTTGAAGAATAATCCTAATGAAATTACAAATAAAAGTGTTAGACGAAATATTCAAAGCTTGGAATTTTTCTCAAACGTTGATAAATTAACCAAAGTTTTAAAGCTGATTAAAACTGCAATTACCTTACTTGAAAGTGTTAATGCAAATCTTGCTGATTGCTTTTTTTCAATTGATTTTAATAGCAAATACTATTAAAAAATTACTTTCTCAAGGAATAGTAGAATTTCATCAACATTATATCAAATCATTTAACAAATATTGATCCAAAAATCTATATTTTAGCATATTTTTTACATTCTGCCTATCGCAGTTAGTAAAATCCTAATTTTTTAATGAAATTATTTATTAGAAGAAAATAAATTGATTTTTTTATAAATATTTAATACCATGTGGGTTAAAAGCAGTATATTGGAAAACTATCACTACTACCACAGCTCAGATTTGGCAAAATAATGGTGGTGACAGAAAGTCATGTAATCATCTTTTGGCACAAATGCGTAATTATGAATTGCAAAAAAGTCCATATAATCAAGAGTTTGATAGTTATCTTGAAACACCAATGAGTTAGTGGCTTACAATCAAAGACAAGTATGATTATCTTCCTGCATTGGCTATAATGGTGTTTTCTATCACTCCACATAGTACAAGATGCGAAAGAATTTTTTCCACTCTTGACTGGTTATATAGTATATGACGGTAATAATTAGGACTTTTAAAGATTGAGGCTATGGCAAAAATTTGATCATTTTATATATCTAATATTAAAAATGAGCTTGCTTATGTTGGTCAACAATATACAGAGGACAAAGTGCATGAAATGATTAATGATTCAACATTTTTACAATTTGAAGAGAAGGAAGATGAAATTAATAATAGAAGAAATATTCCTATTTCAGAAATTCCTAATCATAAAGTATGGGGTTTGATTATTAAAGAAATGTTTAATTTAGTAAAAAATGCAGTAAATTGTTTGAATAATTATGGTGAAAATTCGAATGACAGTGATATTAATAATGATGTTAATGAAACTGATAGTGAAGACTGAAGATAAACTAGATGATAGTGAAAATGTAGAAATGGAAAGTAATTATGATGTTGAAGAATTAATTCAACAATATTCACTTGATAATGAATTAGAAGGAGACACTTTATAATCAATTTTATATTAGAAATCATATTTTTTTCACATGCTTATAACTTTTTTGATAATAATATATTGAAAATTGTGTTACATTTTCTTTGAAATTTATTAAAATTATATATATACTAAACGTAAAATAAAATAATTATACTATAATTGGCTAGTTTACTAAACTTTAAATACTATATTGTACTATAAATATATTTCATTATTTGGATATACATTTAAGTTTCAGAATAAGTTTAGGTTTCAGAATAAATTTATCCTTTAAAAAAAAAACGAAATATTTCAGATTGAAAAAAATAGTTTTGCTCGGTATTACTAGTACTGTTAATACTACTGTTAATTTAATAAGATCTTTGAAACAAAATGATATTGGAAATTTAAAGACTCACAGGAGTTCGTTCTTTAAGGGGGAAAGTATTAAAGTAAAAATGTGACGCAGTAATTTTATGTAGATCAATTTTGTAGATCATTTTGTGGATCCCTTGTTTTTTTCAATTTTCTTGATTTTTTGATTTATTTGATAAATCTGATAAATCTGATAAATTTGATATATTTGATTTATTTATTTTATTAATTTTATTTATTTTATTTGTTATATTTTATTTATTTGATATATTTGATTTATTTTTTTTTTATTTATTTATTTTATAATTTAATGGTTTATATATGTTTACATTAAAATTAACTTTACAAAAATGAAAACTATTTTCTAAATTAGCTATATCTACCCGTATGGATGCAACCATCAAATTTCTCTAAATATCCATATTACCATTGTATTAACATTAAAAACAAATAAAAACAAAAGCCAAACCCCTTCATAATCCCTACAAAATCTTCATATAGAAGAGGCACGAAATGAAGTGAAAGCCCACAGCAATAGGAGATATTTGATTTATTTATTTTATTAATTTTATTTATTTTATTTGTTATATTTTATTTATTTGATATATTTATTTTATTTTATTTATTTTATTTATTTATTTTATCAAATATTCTTAATTTTTATTTTATTATAGTAAATAGTGATAGGATTTTACCAAATTGAAGGGGTAGTTCATCAATTAGTTAAGAATTGTATTGTAGTTTTCAAGTTATATAGAAAGAGTATTATTCCTAATAGTATAATTTAAGATAGTTAATTTTGCAACCAAGAGATTATTTATATTTTTCATCATATTTAAAATTTTACATTATTTTAATAAAAACCTATTTTCTTTAACTGAACATCTAACGTTATTTCACGTAATTATTTGTGATCAACTTAAGACTCTCCTATTAAGTTAAATTCCAGTTAACCTGTTAAAAAGCGTTAAAGTTTTTCAGTTGGCTTTAATCATTGACAGGATAACAGTATGTCAGAATAGATTGCTAAATTGTACCAATAGTATTATAGACACTTTATGTTCTTCATATCTCTAGCACTTATAAAGGTAATTTGATATAGTATAAAAATATAATACCCTATAAAGGATTTTGACATGGTAAAAAGATCCTGTAATACTACTCATTTTACATAGCAGAAATACCTTAAAATACCTAATTAAGCTATCATAGGAACACCTAATGTTAATCTATATCAGAATACAAGATGAAAGGGTTTAGGAAGGACCTCGCTTACTTATAATAAAGGTAACTGTAAAAAATTGGCTCTTTACTAATAGTTTTTACCTTACTTTTTTCTTAAATTCTATTGGTTAATTAGCCAAAAAGGAAAAAAATCATAACAATGTAGCATAAAATTTCCTTTTATAGTCAGATCTGCAAAGAATTTTATATATGATTTTTACCTTAGGCCTGGAGGTGACCTATCTTATAAGTAAGCAGGATTCTGTTTAAGGTCAAAATCAGTATAATGATAACATATAACAGAAAACAGGACGAGAGACCCTATGAAAAGTTTTTGTATTTAAAATATACTTAAAATTTTAATTTGCAATATATTTATAATATACTTAAAATATGCTGAAAATACTCTTAAAATATATTTTTAATGTATTTGTTTTTTGCCCAAGTACTTAAATTATACTTAAAGTATACTTAAACTAGAATTTAAGTACAATATAAGTGTATTTTTTACATGTTTAAAATATTCTTAAAATATGCTTAAATTAAAATTAAAGTAAAATATAAATGTATTTTTTATATACTTAAAATATAATTAAATAAAATTAAAAGAACATTTTAAGAATATTTTAAACATGTAAAAAATACACTTATATTGTACTTAAATTTTAGTTTAAGTATACTTTAAGTATAATTTAAGTACTTGGGCAAAAACAAGTATATTAAAAGTATATTTTAAGAGTATTTTAAGCATATTTTAAGTATATTATAAGTATATCACAAATTAAAATTGATACTTATTTTAAGTATATTTTAATAAAATTTTAAGTATATTTTAAGTATAAAAGCTTTTCATAGGGAGAGTCTGAGGGAGAAATCAATATGATATTATTTAAGGGTTAGATAAATAAACAGAAGGCCAACTCAAATGTTATACAGGTTGATCATTACCCAACAGAACTGTCAGCCTATAAAATTGGTTATACAAATGAATGAAATTTTATATTAAATTATATGAAATTTTTAATTTTCTCGACAAATATAAATAATGAAACAACTGATCTCAAAAGTTAAGCTTATTTATATTAGCTTTATATAAGCGAAGTGCTTTTATGCAAATTGGACAACTGTAGCTTTTATAAATATTATTTCTTTTTTGGAATTATATTTAGCATATTTTCTGGACACCATTTTGTGTTTTAGTTATCTTTATTATACCAAGAAATTTTATATAAAAGACTTTATTAATATATTCTATAACTACTCAGAGTCTCAAACTGCAAATAATTCTCCTTTTGACATAGCTTCGTTAGAAAAAAAAGTTCTATTTTTCAAGTGTTCTAAAATTAAAGGTATTAAATTCTTTTTTCTTTTATTGTTTACATTATTTCCAAATGCCTAAAGTAATTATTGTAATTCTGTCACTAGAAACACTTTTGAAAATAATTCTTCTGCATTATTCATTTGTGTTTAGATTTGAAGTTATGCCAATCCATTTTGGTAAATTGGATTTCTTCATTGATACATTTTTATTTTCAGAATTTTGAGTATCATTGCGTATTGCTTTAAAATTTTCTCTAAGGCTTGGGGTTCCTTTCTCAAGAATAAGTACATATTAATTTTTATGGGTGTAAGTATAATACTTATGGAGAAATTTACATTTTTTGTAATAGTATTAATTTTGAATTTTTCTTTTACTGTTTATTAACTTTATTAATTGAATATTGTTAATCTGTCATTAAATCTTTGCCATGACTTTTGCCTGCTCTTTATGTAAATAGAAATAATCCAGTCATAAAGAAATTTTTTAACATTATCTTTTAATTCTTATTGTTTTTTAACATTAATAGATTTACGATTAGAGAGTAGTTGGCTGAAAATATTAAGAAGTGTGTTAAAAGATTATATTAATGGTAAGTTACTTAATTGCCGATCCACGAATGAATCGGACCTAGTGATCGGCAAAATCAAATCTCCACTTCCAAAAAAAGTAAAGTCGGTCAATTTTTAGCCAAACCAATTAAATTTTTTTTTAAAAAAACTTAGAGATTAAATCTATTTTGTAAAAATATAAATTTAAGTATTTCAAAACTCAAAATTTTGCGAATTGCTTTTAAATATCATCAATTAGCGAAATTTTAGTAAAAATTATTTATCATTTTTTTTTCTAATAAAAGTACTAGCAAGAAGTCTCAAAATTCACACATATATACTTTGGACATATATTAATAGAATATTAAAAAAAAAATGATATAATAAATGTAAAAATATTTCCTACTTTAAGGTTAACTAACAATAATCCATTTTCCCATTTTTAATGCTTATATAAAACTTTTATAAATCAATCTTTAGGAATTTAAAAATGGTAATTTTATCTTAAAATATAAGTTCTGAACATATTTAAAGCATTTATTTTCAAATTATTAAGTGAAAAAATTTTTCGGTTTTGTGTCGATGGTTACACAAATTACGAATTGAAGAAATTTAAAGTTTATTGGTGAAAGTTTGACTTTTTTAAGAGCTATTTTTGATACTCTAATAAAATAAAGCAAATGTCAAAGTTTTTTCATTAAAAATTTCAATCTATTCGATTAAAAATTGGTGGATATTCCTATATTGGAAATGCAGATTTAAGGGGTGGTCCGATTGGTATATGGATTACTAATTAATAAACTATTATATATATAATGAAGAATATTAGGCCTAAATTCCCTATGCTTTTCAAATAATAATAATATTAATGATTTTATTCTATATATAAATTCTAGAAATTTATGATCTGAGATCACATTTGTTGTTGAGATCAGATATTTTTCTCATAAACAACTTACTCTGAACTTAATATATTGAGGTGATCACAAATTATTTTAAATTCAAAATGTGATTTAGTTACGTTATCATTTTTGGTTAATTTATAATTAATCTATCCAATTACGTAAAAGAATTTTAATGCTTTTTCTAGTTCTAGAATAATAATTTTTTTAGGTATTAAGTGATGGTCAGCTGAAAAATGATCTGGAAAATCATTTGATATTGTCATTCTTCTAAATATAAATATAATTACTTTATGCAAAAGTAAATATGCAACAAGTTTTGTAATCAAAGAATTATTTGAATTAGTTGCAGCAAGAAAGTCTTAATACCAAATTCCTGAGCATTGATAATTATTGAGACAAATTTTAAAGTGAGAACAGAATCCCGCTTACTTCTAATAAAGGTTACCGTAAAATTTTTAAGATTTATATATAAATTTATCTTACTCCAAATTTTCCTTCTACTAAGTAATTTTACTACCTTTCCAGTTACATTTTTAAATTATATATATTTTTACCTTACAAGTTCAGTAACATTTATAATTATAAATTATATAAAAAATAATTATTTTATACATTTAGTACTTTTTATTTCTTTTAAAATTTGCCTAATTTTTTAGATATAATT